GCACTGTTCAATTCCCACCTATGAGTGAGAACATGCGGTGTTTGGTTTTCTGTTCTTGCAATAGTTTGCTGAGAATGATGGTTTCCACCTGCATCCATGTCCCTACAAAGGACATGAACTCATCAGGATGCCTTCTTTAATGGTTCGTTGTTTCTCTTTCCCATGCGGAAGCTCTAAGATAATGTATAGTCCCATGTGTTTGTGTTCACATTTGCTAGCAGTGATTTTTGTGTCCCATCCAAAAAGAACAAAAAATAAGAAGGAAAAAGTATTGCCAAATCAATTGCATGGTCTAAGGGTTTGTTGCCATAGATAATTTTTGCTTTTGTTTTCTTTCTTTTTTGCAAACTGCATGCATAGATACAAGTTTTGCTGAAATAAACTCCCACTTTTCTTATAGGAGATTTGTGGCTCCAGGACTGGATTTAAGTGTTTTATTTTGTGCTGATTTGGGGGTATTATATTTCAGACCCTGAAATGTTGATTTCTTTGACTTGTTTTTGTCTGATATACCACAGTGGGGCTTGTGTTCAAATTAAGCTGTGGGACATCCTTTAGATACTGGGTTCAAACAATTCTCTCCTTCCTTGATGTTCCCTTAGGGGAGAGGTGGCAGAAAGTCTGGGAAGATCCATAGTGGGAAAAGTTTATCTGTGTTTCCTGGAGACTCATGGCCAGCTCCCTTCTGCACAGGACTTCTGGAGAAGGCCAGCCCTACCGATTGCTTAAATACCTCCTATCTCCAGCCCTTCAGTAAATATTTAAGTGATTCATTAAATATTTACAACTTAAAAAAGTAGAGTAACCCGGTGGAACTTGAATTTAACTAGAATTTAAGTTTGAGAGTAACTGGTCAGTAGAACAAGTGACATAGATTGGGTGACATACTGTGGTTTTTAAGTGTTTTTTAGTTTGTTTGTTTTATTTTTTGTTTTCCTTAAACAGAGTTAGCAATAATTAATTTGAATAAAGAAGGAAAACATTAAACAGTTGGCAGGCGTAATGCAAACGCTATTCCATGACTTGTTCAGCCATAGCCTCAATGTGACATGCTAGACTATGAATCCTAAAGACTGGTATACGGTTATTGCACTGGAGTTACTGTTCTCATTCCAACACTATAGAACATTCTGAGTAGTGTTTTAAAATTTTATTTTAACGAAAGTTAAGGAAAAAACCCGTTACTTATACACTAAAGAAAATAAACATAAAATGGTTTCCCGCCTGACATGCAAAAGTCCCATGGCCTGATCCTGGCCAGCAGGAGCAGCTGGTGTTGAGGAGTGGAGTCAAGATGTAACTGAGCTGCCAGCCACCTAGATGTGGTTTCCTGGTGTCACGGTCTGGGTGAAGGATGATGCAGAGCTGGTGTTCTGGCCAGCATCCCAGTGCGGCCCCAGCCACTGCAGGATGTTTCCAGCCTACTGGGATTCGGGCTCCAGCTGACAGGACAGCTTGTGGCTGCAGGACAGAGAGGCAGCTGTGAGGCCACCATGAGCCACACATCAGGTCCCCTCTCATTGCCTGACCAGCTGGAATCCTGGGTCCCCAGCAGTCCCCATGCAACAAGGTTTGATGCTGGCCGTGGAGTCATGGCCATAGGCTCTCTGCTGCTGTCCACAGGAGAGCCTCCTCTAGGCCAGGTGGGGTGGCTGACACCTGTACTGTCAGTACTTTGGGAGGCTGAGGTGGGTGGATTGCTTGAGGCCAGGAGTTTGAGACCAGCCTGGACATCATTGTGAAACCCCACCTGTACCAGAACAACAACAGGAGAACAACCGGACATGGTGGTGGATAGCAGTAGTCCCAGCTGCTTGGAGGCTGAGGAAGGGCTTGAGCCCAGGAGGCAGATGTTGCAGTGAGCAGAGATGGTGACACTGCAGTGCAGCCTGGGCGACAGAGCCAGACCACGTTAAAAAAAAATGGAGAGCTAGGCGGGCGGTGGCAAGCTGTATCCAGCACTTGGAGCGAGACGGCGGATACGAGCCAGGAGAGAGAAATCCGAACACGGTGAACCCGTCTACTAAAAATACAAAAAAAAAACAGCCGGGCGAGGTGGCGGGCGCTGTAGCCAGCTACCGGGGGGGCGGGAAGGCAAACCCGGGGGGGAGCTGCAGGAGCGAGATCCGGCCCTGCACTCAGCCTGGTGACAGAGCAAGACTCCGTTCAAAAAAAAAAAAAAAAAAAAAAAAATGGAGAGCTTTCTCCCACCCTCTGCCCATCTCCCAGGCCCTCACCTCTCCTTGTCACTGAGCTGCTCCATTCTTGAGAAACAAGTGACAAATTTCTCCAGAGGGTGAAGCCTGTAATTCATGGCAGCCACTTGGAGCAGCTGCAATTCCTGCAGAACTCGGACCTCCTAGAGACAGAGGACAGGATGCTGACAGGGCCTGGGTGGAAGACGCTGAGGGGACCTTTGGCAGGCAGGGAGAAGGGGCTGGTCCCTGGGGCCGTTCTCTGAGGGGGCCCCATGCAGCCCCCAGCCTGTTCTCAGAGTTGGATGTAAATAGCCCCTCCTGCAGGAATTGGTCTTTCATTCCAGTGCCTTTCCCACTTTCTCCACTGGGATAGGTCTCCTCCTCCTGTGTGTGTCAAACCCTTCCAGTAAAACTAAGATGTAGAGGATGGAGCCAGGGAGTGTCCTGTCCAGGGTGGACTGTGACGTCCACATCCCCAACCTCATCCAACGTGAATGTCCCAGCTGCTCACCTTTCTCCTCTTGTTGGTGTTGCCCTGGAAGTCAGATAGAGCCCATCAGAAAGGTCCCTAGCCCACAACAGCCCCACCCCATCCCTTCCTATGCTGCATTACTGCCAGGGCCACCAGGGTCAGGGGATGTGCACATGACACAACGTGAACCTGCCTCAGGCTCCGGGCTCTAGGGCAGTGGGCATGGGAGCTGAGGCTCAGGGACCTTCTGCCCCAACCCTCTGAGATGACAGACAGAGAAACTGAGGTCTCCCTTAGAAAGAAAGTGCTCAGTTATCCTGGAATTGCCTGCCCTTGGAAAGGCTCAATTTCACCCTCCTATTATGGGACTACCCTAGGGAGAGGCTGAGTCCAGCTCAGCCCACACCTCAGCAGCGCTGCAGTCAGGCAGCTCTGCAGCTTCACCACTCAGGGATAGGGACTGCTGACTGCCATGGAGCCTCTGTCAGTCAGAGGTAATGAGATGGGCCTGACACTCCCACCCACAGGAGCAGCTATGAGGCTCTCAGGAGAGGAGGTTTTCCAAGGGCTAAGATCTAAGGGCTCCGTCCAGGCCCCTCTCCTCCCAAGCCTCAGGATCCTGGCTCCCAAGCAGCCTGCCCCAGGGTCACTCACATCCAGATCGTCCGGGATGGCTGAATCCAACCTGTGTAACTCAGTCAGAAAATCCCCCAGGAAGGGGACCACGCCCTGTGCCATGGAGGGGTGGGGAGGTGGGAGGGGTAGTGGTGATGAGTATTGACCCTCAGGTGCTTGCCCAAGGCCCTGTCCCATGAAATCCCATCAGCCCCTGTGTCCCAGAACCCCCGTCCCCAGGTCTCCCAGTTGTAGCAGCCGAAGACCCTCAGCTGCCTTTCCAAATTCCCTGCCTCCTCTATTCCAGCTGACCTCCAAGTCTGGCAATCACTCCTAGTTACCTCTATGGTGGGATTTTAACAAGTCACAAGGACCTGTGGTCCCAGCCTTACCCTAGGGACACTCTGAATTCTGCTTTCCCAGACCCTTGCTCTGGTCTCTCCAATGGAGGTTTTCCAGGCCCAGTGGCCATAGGAGGGCAGGGCTGGGGAGGAAGCCCCCGCTGTGTTGATATGGAGGCCTCCAGCTGGTGGGGAAAAGAGCCCTGTCCTCTGATCCCCTGCGGTCCCTCCATGCCACAGTCTCACTCACCTTCTTCTGCCTCTGTAGCCTCATCTGGGCTCTCTGGGGGTTCCTCTCCTGGGTGGCCACCTTAAAGCTCCCCGCCTGCCAGGTGTCAGGGACAGGGACAGTGAGGCTCTCCTCCCTTCCCCCAGTTACACCCCAGCCACCCCACACTTGGATCTCCAGGGACTGGCGTGAGTCACCTGGCACAGTGCTCAGCCAGCTCCACACTCCCTGTGTGTGTCACCCACTCATGCAGCCAGGCCTCCCTGAGACTTTTTCCTTTCTGTAAAGAGCCATGAAAACCACAGCTACCTCACAGGACCTCCTGAGTACTGTTTCCTGTAGCTGTTGTCATTGTTCTCCCCCTCATCCCTCTGAGGAAGAACCATTCACGAGCACCCTCCAATTGCTTTCTTTTCTTGAACCTCATTTCCACCCTGTGAGGCCTGCACTACAGGTCAGCATCCCTTCATTTTCCAGATAAGGAAACAGAGACCAAGAGTGGGCAGTGACTCCCCAGGGCCCCAAAAGAGAAGGCACCTCCTCCCCATCCTGGAGGCTCTGTCTCGGCTGCCCTCACCCCATATCCCAGCACCACCACCCATCAGGGTCTTGTTCTTTGGAGTCTCTGAGTGTCTAGGTCTCCAGCCTTGCAGAGTCGTGATGGGAAAGGGACAGGGCATTTTAGGAGACCTGGTTAAGTGGCACCTGCCTATCTGAGCCCCACTGGAGTCTCTGCCACACAAACTGGGTTTGCGCCATGCCAAATCCATGGTTTGGCTCTCCAGTGATCCCCCAGGGGAGTTCCGTGCACAGAACTCTCTTCCTCCACTCAGGATGTGGCCTCCTGAGGCGACATCTCTCACGGACATGGCAGGGTTTTCCAGAATCCTGGGTGGGGTGACATGTTGCCTTCTCATTTGCATGGAGGTTTCTGAGATCTGGTCAGGGAGGATCCCCTAGGAATGCATGGATCCCCCAGATACTTGTCATGAGCATGTGTCACTGCTAATTGGTGAGAATCCTGTGACATGACCATTTTCAGATGTCTGCAAAGGGCAGAGTGGGGAGTCCCAGCAAACACATACATCTGTCCTGAGTTTGCCCATTGGGACCCATAGCTGGGCAGTCTACTGGGCTCCCTGGCATATGAGCTTCCTCTGTTGTGGTTCCCTCTTTCCCCCAGTGTGGACTGCAGTCCCTGCCCATGGAGGTGCGCTGCAGACAGAAGCAGCAGCAGAGGCCTGGCTTCCTGAGGAATTACTGCCAGTTTGAGGAAGAAGGAAAGTCCCACCTACCATGACCACCCCCCAGCCTGGAGGAAGCTCCATGCCAGCAGCATGGACCAGCATGGGAGCCAGAGTCCTGCTAATGCTGCAGCTCATCACCCTCACTCAGAAGCCCAGCAGCCATTGCCACATCCTATTTCCAGGGCCTGCTGCCCCCGTGCCCCCACGTGCCCATCGACCCACACACCTCTCCTCCTGTTTGCCCAAAGTAGGCATGGAGGGAATTTTTCAAGTCCACTTTTAGTAGGTAAGTCAAAACATTACAAAATAACCACTGCACACTGGGATCAATGCCCTTCCAAACTCACTCTTTCCTCTGACCCTTAAACACTTGTCCCGCATCTCCCAGACTCCACTGTACCTTGATCAGCAGGTCCCTCTTCACTGCAGTGTCTTTTTTGCAGAGTTCTTTTAGATATTTTGAGCTTTTGCTATTGATAGAAGAAAGAAAAAAGGGTAAATTTGGGAATCACGGGGGAGATTTGTGAATTCCAATCCCTTTTGTTTGAAAACCCAGTGAATCTCAGCTTCCTGCGTGAGAGTTTCCAGTGGGGTCATCTGATGACAAGGGCTCCAGAGGACCAGGGTGGGACTGTCATGCTCCTCCCCTGGCCCATCTCAACTTCACATGAGCCCCTGCGTGTTCACAGTTAGCTTCCAGCTGGACACAGTTCCACTGCTGGGTGCAAACACCTGACACCCTCCAGTTAGCTCCAGTCTGTTCCTGATGGTTAAAATCCTTAGTCCTGAGTTGGAAATCCTTGCCTAGAAGTCCAGGGCAGCTTAGTGACCACACCCACCAGCCCATCCCTGCCTCCAGCGTCCCTGTTCTCCAAGAACCTTTCAGAGTCGTTGAGGGCACATGGGGAGACCTATGGGTCCCTAAGTCAACACTGGTGCTCCCATGGAGGGAACCCTCCTCACCTGGACACTCCTGCCCACGTCTTGTGTAGCCGATGTATTGGGTTGCTGCGCAGAGCAGAGACGATGGCGTGCACTGAGGAGAAGTTGTTGAGGCGTAGGCACTCCTGGAGAGGGAAGAGTGAGCTGTGAGGTCCAGAGTTGGAGTCCGACCCACTTCAGCCTCAGCCCCCTCTGCTGAGATCTCCCTTCCTGAATGAAGCAGAGGCCCAGGGAGCCTCAGGAGGGCACACCTGGGGCTGAGTGAATGTCACTAATCTAGAAAGATTTCAGTTCAACCCAAGGAAGATCCCAGGTCAGACGTGAGCAGCCACCACTGGGCCATGGCGGTCAAGGTCAGGGAAGCTGTGGGAAGAAGGGCCTAGGGGATGTGTAGGGCTCAGGCTAGAGATACAGATGCCAATCCTGAAAGCCGATGGAGGAGAAGAGGCAGTTCCCCATTTTTAGAGAGGGAATCCCAAGGCCCAACCATGGCTTACCCTGGCCACCTTGATCCAGTGCTCCACCACCCTGGCCCTATCCTGGACCCTCATGCTGTGGTCCCCGAGGCAGGAGGTGGTGACACAGTTGGCGAGCCTGTTGAAGTGTGCAATGGTGGCACAAACTGTGGGTGCCACGTGCTCACTCCCCTTCTGATGTCGTTGGCCCCAGATGGAGCCCAAGCATTCGTAGAGCTCCACCTTCTTGAACAGATCCTTTGGGGAAGGAGGAGAGTATCATGGACACAGCACACCCCAGCTCAGAGTCACCCACAGTCCCAGGCAGGACTGAGCTCACAGTCATCCACAGTCTCTGGCAGAACGAGCTTGAGCTCAGAAAGCTTTAAAATATGCTCCAGACTGTGGGAGTCCCTGGGTTTGGTTTTCTGCCCACCGAGGGCCCTGAATGCATCATGTCCCAGAACCCACAAGGGTGGGAAGAGAGAGTGACATTTTCTCCCAGGCCATCCTCATTCCAAGAACTAGAAGGTGGCTCAGGCCTCCCCATCCTGAGGCCTCATCTTCCTCCCATCCCAATCAGCCCTCTACTCTTCTCTCCCTACTGGTGCAGTTTCCTTGCAGCAGCTGCAACACTGGGCTCTGTTTGGGTGTCTGCCATAGAATCTAGTATGCATCAGGTACCTAATAAGTGCTGAGGGTAGTGAGGCTCCTGAGCAGCTGGGTGAGTGACCCATGGCCCTGCCTGCCCCTCAGTGATCACCTGCCCTGTCCTGCTTTCTGTCCATCCCCGTCATTCAGTCTGCACAGTCACTCTGTGCAGCTGGCACGGGCGATTTCCCATCTCTGCTGTCCACATGCAGACAGGGAAGGCTTGTGGGTGAGGAAACTCATCCAGATCCCATGGTTGGTAAGAAGTGGGGCTGAAACTGGACCCAGGGCATTGGCCGCTCCTCAGAGACAGGCTGGCCTGAGACAGCTGGTGCCAGAGGCACAGCCTGCAAGCCCAGCTGCTCACCGCATCATAAGGGTCAGCTGCTCAGCCAGCAGCCTGGGAGGGAAGGTCGTGATGTCCGGCGCTCCTCAGTGTGTTGGCTCTGGACAGTCCCGGGACAGGGACAGGGTGACTCTGGGGCTGACTGTGGCTCCAGCACTGTTCCTGGAGGGGGCCCTTCCCCTGGTGCTGGTGCTGTGCTGAATGTAGATATCCTTGTGCATCCAGGGCTACAGGTGACTCTGGCTCAGAGCAGGCGCAGGTCCGCCAGCAGTGGTGGTGCTGGCTCCAGGGCCAGCATTGTTAATGCGTGTTGCCCAGGAGGTGGAGCAGGATCTGGAAAAGGAGAAAGGTCACCATTCCAGTCACTCCTCACTGGGATTTCCAAGTATAGAAATGCTGGATGGAATTTAAGGGAATTATAGCCCCAAAACACCACCCCGGAAAGTCTTCTCACCATCTGGCTTGGCCTCCTTGGGCTCCGGAAGCACCAACTGGCCTAGGACAATTCCTGATGGTCCTCCACGCCCAGTCCAGGCCAGGGAAGGTCCTGAAGGCCAGCTTTATCCAGAAAGATGACCGTTGCAGGGCCTGGCAGCAAACTGAGTGTTTTCAGGGGGCCAGGTGAACAAAATGGAGGTGGTGGTGCTGGTGATGGAGTGGACAGCTGAGTCAGAGGCCTGGCCTTCTCCACACAACCCTCCAGGGCACCCTTGGTGGTTCTGGGTCCCTGGCCTCTTGCTGCCTGTGTAGAGGACAGCCCCACCCTACCCCAAGCCATCAGTGCTGTCCTGGAAGGGGCAGACCTGGCCATGCAGCAGGGCTGTACGGACCCTTCTGCGCCCCAGCGTCCCACTGACATTCTCTTCCCAATGGCCCTGGAGCACAGCACTGTGCACCTGGGCACTCAAGACTGCAGCTCCAGGCAGATTTGTGAGCAGCTTGCTCATTAAAGCTCCAGCTCTGGTCCTGGGGTGAGGAGGGTAGGGGCAGATGTTGGGTGGAGGAGGACAGGGAGAGCTGGGAAGGCACGGTGCTGGGGATGGGTCTCTCAGTGGCCAGTTGTGCCTCCAACCTCACCTCTCCTTTGCAAGGGACCTAAGTCTCCATTTACAGAACTCACTATTTTGCCTCTTGCAGGGGAAGTCCCCAGATGTCAGCCTTGTTGTGGGAATTACAAGACATGAACCCCAGGGCTCCTTTAGTCTCTCCCCAGCCAGAGTCCACATATTTCCCCCCATGTTTTGTGGGTGAAGAGGCCCTTCAGAACCCTAAGTCCCCCCAGTTGATACTTGTTGGGCTCCGTCATTCTAGTCAGGATCTGGGAGGATGCCACCATACGTAGAGGAGGCCATGAGGGTTTCCCTCTAACATTCTGAAGATACCATTTGTTTATTGTGTCTACTGTGAGCACCTGACTCTGGGTAGAATTGAGGCCCAGGGATTGTCATCTGCCTTGTTATGAAATTATGCCAAGTCACAAGAAGAACGATGCACAAATGAAGGTGTTTTGTATGTATGTGTTGAATGAGTGAACCCCAACCATTGGAGAACCCAGTGAGCCTCTCCAGATGTCAGAGTGGGCCTGTGGCTCCTTTTCAGCATGAAGGGACCCCTCTTCTGTCTGTTCAAGGAGAAAGTCCAGCCAGAAGGAAACTCAGACATCCTTTAGCTAATGCCATTGCAGACTTGCTTTCTATGTGCCTTTCCAAACAGAAGAGAGATGGGCCATTGCGGCAGAATGCTGAGAGCTGCTTCAGTGAGGGGAAGAGAAAAGTAATAAACATGAATCACAGCACCCACAGCAGATTGTCCAGAGTTTTAGGCTCTAGGGACCCTTTGTTTGCTGTGTCTTAGATCATTCAGTCCCTACAAGAACCCTGTGAGGTTCATCTTCTCATTACTCCCTGTTCCAGAGGAGCCAACTGAGGCTCCAAGAGGTGCATCTTCAAGACACAGCCAGTAGGGACAGAGGCACCTCGTGCCTTGGAGGGGATGGACACTCACCTTCTAACCAGTAGTTCCAAAAAGTGTGGCACGGTGATAAAGTCCCAGGAGGGACCCAGGCAGGTGGCATAGGAGGAGATGGGTTTAGTTAGAAAGGCTGGAACCAGGGACTCCAACAGCTTCTCCCTTGTGCTGGGCTGGAAAGTTGGCATCCTGCAGATCTCATTTTCATACTAGGGGGACAAGGAGGGACATGAGAGTCAGTGGTAACACCATGAACCACCAGAGGATCGGGATCTGGAACTCACACCAAGAAGCATCAACCCTTCAGGGACTTGTGCATGTGGAGAACCTGGGTGCCCATGGTGAAAAGGGTTCTAGGCTTTCAAGGTAAAATTGCATGTGAGGATGGGGAAGGATAAAATGATTCATGCCTTCAAGGCATCAGCATGGTGAATGTGAGCTGTGGGGCAACAGCACCCTCTGTATCAACAGCCTGCATGAAGAGCATCATCCCTGCACTCCTCAAAAATCACCCTCATGGTGGAGAAGAGGAGACGCGGGCTTTTGGATGTCAGATGCTTGCTCAGCAGCACCCGGGTCAGAAGAGAGCACCTTCCACAGGGAGGACTGGATGAAATTCCCTCTAGGCCACCTGAGGCTCTGCTTCTTATATGGAAGGGAAGGGTCTGGGGAGGTCTCATCCCCTCCTTATTTTAGTGACAGCACACCGGACAAGATGCTCTAGAAGAACCCTTTGACTTAAAGGGATATGATTGTTTTTGTTCTTTAACATGAATGTGAGTCTGGAGAAACAGCTACGGCCATCCCAGCCCTGGTCAGCCCTTCCCAAGTCACCCTGGGGAAGACTCCAGGGTGGGAGGAAGCGCATCCCAAGGCCCAGGATCTGCCAGGCGACTCGTGGAAGAGAAAACGCAGGCAGGTATT